CAGACACAAAAAAAAAAATAAAAAAAAAAACACATCATTGTAAAATTAATACCTTCTCAGCTTCGCATCGAAGCTAAAATAATATTTTAACATATAATAGAACAAGGAAAAAAACGTTTCTCTAGAAAAACTACTTAGCGTGCTCGGATTTTCAAATTTTTTTTTTTCAACGAAAAACTCGATTACAAGACTTCGGAAAAATTATTTGAGCGATCGTTTTAAAATTTCGACTGTTTTCGAGAAAAACGCACGCTGTTGCCAGCGCCTTACCACTTGAGGTTTTTACATATCCACCAGACCCGTTCTATGACATTTTTGAGGCATCATAAAAAAATCAATTCAATAATTTTTCACCGTTTTACGACCTTTTTTTTTCGAGTCCACACAAGTGGTTTTAATATGGACATAGATTCATTTTAGCATATGTTTATTGTAAAATATGACTTTTATGACGAATTATTATTCTAATAAATCGTCATAAAATTCTATTCAATTTCATAATTAATATATGTTATTGTTGTCATATATGAATTGATTGTTTTAGTTTATTAACTATCTGTTTAGCTTCGATGCGAAGCTGAGAAGGTATTGGTTTTACTATGATGTGTTTTTTTTTTTTTTGTGTCTGTTACTTTTTCTCAGCTCTCACCGAACCGATTTCTTTCAATGATACGTCAAAAGATCACAAATCGTATCTAGTCGAAGAAATTACCCTCAAAAATTGAAAAAAATTCCCTCATTCCCCGTAAATGGGGGAAACCTCCATTAAAAATTACAAATTTAAAAATCGCTAATTTTCGAAATTTTTTTTACTAAAAACTGCTGTAACTTTTTCAAAAATTAACAAATCAATATAATTTTTTTTTCATAGATGCTTGATGTCTTTACCTGTCATTTGGTATATATTTTTTATAAATCTGACCCTTTATCTGCCCACAGGGGGGGATTTAAAATGACAACTTTTTCACAAAAAATTTACTTTTTCAACTTAAATTTTGATAGTGTTCCGGAAAGTCTGACACTTTTATATATATCTTAAATTAAAGCTAATGTAATATACTTTATAATGGTAAAAAAAAATTTCGGACTTTATTTTATCTTCATGGTGAAAACAGACATTAAACTTAATAAAAAAAATACGATTTTTGTAAAAAAATTCTTTTTTATATTTTTAACTTTATAATGCTATAACTTCTCGAAAGATGTATGGATCAATATAATTCTTTTTTTTGTAGATGCATGATGTCTTTACCTATCATTTGGTATATTTTTTTTATAAATCTGACTTTTTACCTGCCCACAGGGGGGGATTCAAAATGACAACTTTTTCACAAAAAATTAACTTTTTCAACTTAAATTTTGAAAGTGTTCCGGAAAGTCTGACACTTTTATATATACCTTAAATTAAAGTTAATGTAGTTTATTATTATACTTTATTATGAAAAAAAAAATTTCGGACTTTATTTTATCTTCACGGTGAAAATGGCTACCAAATGCTATTATTGTGTGAAAATTCTCAAGTCCAGAGTTCAAATTTTTTTTTTCAAATTACNGTCCAGAGTTCAAATTTTTTTTTTCAAATTAAAGTTTATTACATTAGCTTTAATTTAAGATATATATAAAAGTGTCAGACCTTCCGGAACATTTTCAAAATTTAAGTTAAAAAAATTAATTTTTTGTGAAAAAGTTGTCATTTTAAATCCCCCCTTGTGGGCAGGTTAAGGGTTAAATTTATGAAAAAAATATACCAAATGAAAGGTAATGATATTATGCATCTATATAAAAAAGAATTATATTGATATGTTTATTTTTGAAAAAGTTATGGCACTTTTAAGTAAAAAAAATTGAAAAAATTTCGAAAATTAGCGATTTTTAAATTTGTAATTTTTTTGGAGGTTTCCCCCTTTTACGGGGAACGAGGGAATTTTTTTCAATTTTTAAGGGTAATGTCTTCGACTAGATACGATTTGTGATCTTTTGACGTATCATTGAAAGAAATCGGTTCGGTGAGAGCTGAGAAAAAGTGGTAACAGACACAAAAAAAAAAAAAAAAACATCTTAGTAAAACCAATACCTTCTCAGCTTCGCATCGAAGCTAAAATATAAAAAAAAACCCAGCACAGGGGGGTCGCGGCACAGTGGTGACGTGGCATAGTTGGATCAAGTATAATGATATCTGACAGTGATTAAAATCACTATCAAAAAAAAACGCTTCGATGCAAATCTTTAGATAGTGTTTAATTTTAAAAAATTGGTGGATTATTCCAAAAGCTTCATAAACTGCTAGTTCCTTATTAATATCCTGATTAAGATAAAGTATGTCGAATGAAAAAGGGATTATTAAAAAATAGTATTTCCCATAAAAAAATTATATTGATCAATACACTTTTCAATAAGTTATAGCATTATAAAGTTAAAAATGTAAAAAATAAAATTGAGAATTTTCACACAATAATAGCATTTGGTAGCCATTTTCACCTTGAAGATAAAATAAAGTCCGAAATTTTTTTTTTCCATGATAAAGTATATTACATTAGCTTTAATTTAAGATATATATAAAAGTGTCAGACCTTCTGGAACACTTTCAAAAGTTAAGTTGAAAAAGTTCTACGTTCTATATGCATTTTTTATATTTGAAGCCCTCCCATATATAGGGAAATAGCCTGATTTAAAAAACAAGTATATCCAATGAAATATGTATATAAATGCTACTTCTCATAAAAAAATTGTATTGATCCATACATTTTTTAAAAAGTTATAGTACTTTAAAGTAAAAAATGTAAATTATAAAATCGAAAATTTTCACACAAAAATAGCATTTGGTAGCCATTTTCACCATGAAGACAAGTCTAGAGGTCAAATTTTTCTTTTTCAAATTAAAGTACATTACATTAGCTTTAATTTAAGATATATATAAAAGTGTCAGACCTTCCGGAACATTTTCAAAAGTTAAGTTGAAAAAGTTAATTTTTTGTGAAAAAGTTGTCATTTTAAATCCCCCCCTGTGGGCAGAAAAAAGGTCAAAATTACAAAAAAAATATACCAAATAATAGGTAATGACATCAAGCATTTATATAAAAAAAAATTATATTCATATGTTCATTTTTGAAAAAGTTACGGCACATTTTAGTAAAAAAAATTGAAAAAATTTCGAAAATTAGCGATTTTTAAATTTGTAATTTTTTTGGAGGTTTCCCCCATTTACGGGGAACGAGGGAAATTTTTTCAATTTTGAAGGGTAATGTCTTCGACTAGATACAATTTGTGATCTTTTGACGTATCGTTGAAAGAAATCCGTTCGGTGAGAGCTGAGAAAAAGTGGTAACAGACACAAAAAAAAAAAAAAACACATCATAGTAAAAAAATACCTTCTCAGCTTCGCATCGAAGCTAATATGAAAATATACGGTAAGTCCAAATACTAAGCAAATACTTGGTATATCACATAAAAAATAATGGAGTTATCGTCTTTTGGCTTATGTTCATACATTGGGAAAAAAGGGTATTTTGATTTATTGTTAAAAATGTTTTTTTGTGTTCTTGGAGTTATCCTGTTTTCGCTTAGCATGGCAGCACTGTGCCGCGATCGCCTGTGCTGGGTTTTTTAACATTATGATGCTATAACTTTTTAAAAAAATGCATGAATCAATTCTATTCTTTAACAATAAATACTTTATATATACCTCTTTCATTCGACATACTTTTTTTAGCTTCGATGCGAAGATGAGAAGGTATTAATTTTACTATGATGTTTTTTTTTTTTTTTTTTGTCTGTGAACGCTCAATCATAGCTCTCGCTGGACCGATTTTGATGAACAATATGTCAAAAGATCACAAATCGTATATAGTCGAAGACATTACCCTCAAAAATTGAAAAAAATTCCCTAGTTCCCCGTAAACGGAAAACTTAAAAATCGCTAATTTTCGATATTTTTTCATTTTTTTTTACTTAAAATTGCCATAACTTTTTTAAAAATGACCGAATCAATATAATTTTTTTTTTTATAGATACCTTAGATAATTACCTATCATTTTATATATTTTTGTGAACATTTGANCGTTAGATATTTACATATAATTTTTTATATTTTTGTGAACATTTGACCCTTTAACAGCACATTGGAAGGGTTTCAAAATGGTAACTTTTTTACAAAAAATTAACTTTTTCAACTTAACTTTTGATAATGTTCCGGAAAGACTGACACTTTTATATATATCTTAAATTAAAGCTAATATAATATACTTTAATTTAGAAAAAAAATTTGACCTTTGAATTTGTCTTCATGGTAAAAATGACTACCGTATTCAAAAATTTGTTATTTTTGTGTTAAA